CCCTAAGAGTTAAGTGTGTAAATAGTGAACTTTTTCAAAATGAAAATAAGTGGATTTTGGAGACTCCATATGATGTTCGGTACGAAGGAATGAATGATTTGCTTAAAGCATATAAAATCAACTTTGCATCCCATAAGAAACGATTTAAGATCAAGTACCGAAGCAAAAAAGACGAATCTGAGTCAATTGTCATTCATTCTAAGCATTGGAAGAAAGCTGGAGTATTCTACCCAAGAATATTTGGCACAGAACCTATTCGGGGAGCAGAGCCACTGCCTAACAAATTAAATCATGATTGTCGCCTTCAGAAAACAAGGTTAGGTGAATTTTTTCTGTGCATACCTATGCCACTTGAAATTAGGGGTGAAAACCAAGCCCCTCAATGGACAAGGATTGAAGAAGGAATACTCTCATTAGACCCAGGTGTCAGAACATTCTCAACTGGATACTCACCTTCTGGACTTGTAGTTGAATGGGGTAAAAATGACATTGGAAGAATTTATCATCTTTGTCATGCTCTTGACAAATTACAAAGTAAGTGGTCAAAAAAAGAAGTTCGATATAAAAAGAGTTACAAATTAAAGAAAGAAGCAAGAAGAATTAGAAAAAAAATTCGAACTCTTTTTGATGAGGTATATAAGAAATTCACCAAGTGGATTGTTGAACAATATCATATCGTATTACTTCCTGAATTTGGGACACAAAGGATGGTGAGAAGAGCTAATAGAAGAATAAGAAGTAAGACTGCAAGAGCAATGCTCGGATGGTCTCATAATCATTTTAAGCAACATTTAATCAACAAAACAAGAGAATATCCTTGGTGTAAAGTAATTATTTGTGATGAGCATTATGAGCCCAAACCTTTTTTGAATAGAAATATTTAAAAATCGCAATTGATATATAATCGATTTATAAATATTATTTTACAACCCTGGCTATGTTAGCCCACCCGTTAAGTCATGGATACTATAATAAAAATAATTATGTCACGATATATGACTAGACCAAGCGTTCAAGTTTACATGAGCATGTTAAAATACTAAAGATGTTACCAATTATCATGAAGTGGAAATGGACCTGTGAGTGGTGATTGACATAGTAGAAATATAAAGAAGAGATAAAATTAGGAACAAAAATAATGGTTCAATTTCAAAAAAGATATCAAGCATTTTGATCTAGTTCATCTCCAACAACAATTATTTGAAAGTTGCAAACTTAATTGTTTGGCCGATAATTTGAGATATACTCTAAGCATATTTTTGCCATGAAACAACCCAATTTAGAAACCCTCTAATTCCAAATAATGGAATTGAGAAAAAAATGGGTTAATAACTTTATCGAAAGATTCAACAGTTTAAGGAGTAAAATACTTTATTAAATCTAACAGAAAACAATTCCAAAAAAATTACTTCGAAAATTAATAAAAAGATAAATAATATAAATACAATCACTATGCGTTATTACTTTTTTTTATATTGATTTTAAAGTAAACTATTAAATTCTTGGTCTAACTTAACCACACTGATTAAATCAAATATATATTGATTTAATTTCGTAAATTTTTTTATAATTGAAAAATTTATTAATTTATTACAATGTTATATTTTATATCAGTAAGAGAAAAATATTGTATTGTTTTTAAGAAATTTTCAATTGATTGATAAATTGATAACTAAATTTTTGGAATTTGGTTGATAATTTTTTTTTTGTTTGACAATCAGATTTTACTTAGTAAAATTTTTAAAATTCAGTATAATCTCACTCAAAATTCATTTACAAAAATACAATATAAATTCGTCATCCAAATTATTTATTCAAATACGAATATAGTGAATTATGAAGTTAACCAGTAAAGTCTTTCTTTTCTAATCATCTATTTCCATGTCATTCGATGCAGTTTCTGGCAAGTTATTAGTAATTTTTAATTAATGTTAAATTTTTAATGTTGTTAAACTTTGAATTATTAAAAATTATAAGAAACCTTTAAAAAATTCCGAAAAAAACTCTTCAATATCGTTTTGCGAAATGTTAAATGTACGATATTTTTCTTGTGAAAGCTTTTCTAAAAAATTGTTAAAATCGAGTTTGGTTGACATTTGGAAGTCCCTTGGGGTGGCTCCAGCTTGAGCAAGGCCTTTTATCATTGCGATTTTATTCGTTAAAATAAAAATGATCCATAATAAACCAGTCCATATTCTACTTTCATATCTTTTTTTAATGTTAAGATTTTTCATAACACAATTCCTAATCCATTCTCTAACTATTTTGAATTCTACATTATCACCTAAAGGGATTCTATCCGAAATTCTTGCTTTCAAAGGTAATTCTTGGTGTTCGATCGGAGTGCTTTTCTAGCATAGGTGTATAGAGCATAATATCCTTTAGAAAGGTTTACAAAATTATGGAGTTTGGCCGACTTTATTTCTAATTGCATTCTATCGATTATTGTATCTCTATTTTTCCATTCTTTAAATCCGTCTTTAATAAATCTAAGATTATCACCGAAAGAAATTGGTGTAAAAGCGATACCAAATCCTGATGAATCTTCGACCTGTCATTCAACATGATCATCTTTTAGAAAAGCAGTTGCAATTGCTTCCCATTTTGGTCTCCAATCTAAAATGGAATATAAAAAAAAGATTTTAAGGTAAATTTAAACCGGTAAAAAATGATTAAAGATTAAAGTTACCATTTTTTTTATTCGATTTCAATTCCAAGTTATCAGGATTGTCACTGTTATTGATATCTTCGAAATTATCATCAAAATATTTAGAAATTTTTGTTTCCCAATCATCACTGAATGTGTTAGCAATTTTATCAACCCACGAAACTATTGGAAAACTATCAGCAAATTTCAAATTTTTAAGTGCTTAAATCAGTTGCAAAATTTTAAATTTTTCATCTTCACTAATTTTACTATAATCTAGATAATCATTATATCCAAAAGTCATATGAAGTTTTGTATTAATTTGAATCCAAATATTTTCTTCATTATTTTGTGGTTCAATATCGAATTCTCTTAGTAGTGTATTCAAATTTTCTTCTAAAGATGCTGAATTTGAATTATCATCGAGAATAACCAAGTTATTTTGTTCATAAGGAATAACCGAGTTATCTTGTTTATAGGAAATAACAGAGTTATCCTGTTCATAGGAAATAACTGAGTTATCCTGTTCGTAGGGAATAATCGAGTTATTATTGTCAGAGAAAATCTGCAAGTTATTTGATCCATTCTCGACTAAGCTAGAGCGTTCAATTAAAATGGTCTAGAAAAAAAAATCATTAAAATTTTTTCTAAATCAAACTTAAATCTTAATTTCTCACTAAATTTACCAATATTTCATTTAACTTAAGTCGATCAATTTCATCTCTTAAAAATTTGATTAACTATTCCTGTTCCTAAGTATAATAAAATAAGTATTACGTTGGTTAGATTATGTTGTGGCTAGATTATGTTAAAGTATATGTACCTGAACTTTTTTTATCATATTATTATAGACTGATACACTCGTAATATTATCAATATCAAAATTCTCGATTATGGTATCTGAGTGAAGATTCTTAAATTTTCTCAAGCCTCTAAAACATTTTGAAATATTTCGTGTTATTTTAACATTTCGGTTTTTAAAAATTATTTTTTGCAAACTTCCATTACAAGAGTTCTTTAGTAATTTCAAATATGAAAAAAAATTGTCAGAAAGTGGAAAGTTTTTTTCATAAACCATTTGAAATCAATAAAACGATAGTTTGTTTGAATCAAAAATCAAAACAATTTATATTAAATAGGACTCAATGAGTCCTTGTGACAGGGTTGGGCCCACACTTATTTACAAAAATGGCCAATCGGAGTGCACAAAATTTGACTATTCCGGATCAGCCTGACATGAATTGACAGCTGAGTGCCCCGATTTTTGTAGATCGTTACACAATTGATTTAAAATTTTTTTTATACATTTTACAATACTTCACAAAATTTTCGTGGAATCATTCGACCTTCATGTTATACCTGCCTGCAGAAGTTATAAGTAATTAACAACTGCTACGTTGACCAAATCTCGTTTGTTGCGCAAAAAAAGGGCAAAAGAAGTTTAAAATAATAATTTAGAAAAGTGTAAATTTAGATTGTACAGTACCGGACAGCAAGAAACATCTAATTTTTTTTAAAAGTGCCAAATTTTGAGATTTATACTCAAATCTGATTGGCTATTTTTTGTGTAACAAGAATCTGATTGGTTAAAAATCTATAAAAACAATTTTTTTTATATATTAAGTGCCAAATTTTTGATTACATAGTAACTTTGGGCTCTAATAACTTTTTAAATTTATAATAAAAATAAAAATCTATTCTAACAGAATTGTAGCTTAGACTAAAAGCAACAA